GGATCTCTATTTACGACGCAGTGACGCCGCTTAAGTGGCAGCGTAAGGTTAACGTCTCAGGTGACAAAAGGGGTTCGACATTTTGTTGGTCGGGAGGCAAGCCAAGCGCAAAGCATGATACGGAAATGAACTTAAAACGGGCTGGTAACGATGATTTGAGAAAAAAAAAAGAACAAGAAAGAATGAAACATGTAGGAACGAAGACAATCAGTACAGTTCTTTCAACCTGAAAGAATTGTACTGTATGTCTTCGTCCCTACATCCTTCATTATGCCGTGTTTTGCAAAACACTGTGTCCCGAAGCACTGAGCTGTGACTTGTTCTCGTTCCCATAGTGATGACCATTTTCTACAACCAAACCTGCTTCGTATAATTGCAGACCTCAGCATATGCCTGTTTCTCTCGACGAGGGGGCGCTAGTGCGCCCGCCAGACGGGACCATCTAATGCTTGCATCGAACATAAGGCGCCCCTGCAGCGTTCGCTCAAACGAGCCACGGTCATTTACAAGCGTGCATCATGCATCTGTTCAAGTGCGGTAATAGAACACCAGAAAGAACAAAACAAGCGTGAATGAACAAAAGGAAAATGCAATTCGCGCTGTCTTATCAAAACTATGAAAATGCTTTTCTTAGCTTTTTCAATTTTTTTTTTTTTTTTTTTTTTTTTTTTGCCAATGAAATTTTGTTAGTTTAGCATCCGCGAGCCACGTGAAAAGCGAAATGACGCACACTCGAAAGGCGACGGAGAAATATTCGCTTTTGCTCGCCAGAGGCCCTGACCAAACTCGAGAGCTACAGGCTACCGTTGAACACAAAGAGAGTAGCTAATTTTCTTGATGGCCGAGCAGTAGAGACACGATGGCAATGAGGTCATCACGAGTAGTTCCTAGGAGTGGTGTTCGAATCGAGTAGCGCTGCGTCATTCGTAATCATAACCCGTCGCAGTGCCGGGGAAACCCACAGCATACGTTTTGCGCTGTTGAAGCTCATGCGTTCAAGTATAGGCACACCCCTATACTTCGTTTTCCATTAGCTCCGAGCGCAGTCAAGGCTAATGCGGTCAATGAAGCAGCGACAAGAATGAAGCATCACGGCATCTGTCATCTTTCTGTGCGCGCTATCAATCATAAAAAACAGTGATTGCACCGTGGCCTTGCATTTCTAGTATGTGCATGTGGTCTAGTCTTCAGTATACGTTCGGCCGTACACTCCAAGAAAAAAAGAAAAAAAAAAAGAAGCAGAAAAAAGGAAGCAACGGCGCGTTTTCCTCTCTGCTACTGACGCGCCCCCAAGCGGACATGAGATGAAGGGAGGAACGATTTTCTTCTCATTCTCCAGGCAGACGGGAGAAGAATCCTCCCGCCTCATGTTCTTTCGGTTTCGTTTTCGAGCACGTCGCGCGCGTTGTTTAAAGGGATTGCCCGGCAAAATTTTGTCTTTCAGAAAACAAATAAATTATATTGTCATTGCTTTTAGAAAAATTATCCGCGAAATATCAAAATTTTCAATCCTCCGCCGCACAAGTAATTCAATCTTAAACAGAGCCCAACTGCTCGGAGTGCACCTCCAAAGCGCACAGCGTTTTCGTTGGCGACGGTGGAAGCAGCTCTTGATTGCTGTCTCAGTAAAATAACTTTGTTCTAAGAAAGACAAGATTTACGGTATTAAAGAAGCGCAATTCTTCGACGATGATCTTTGGGCGCACCATCAACCATGTTGATCAAAACCGGAAATAAGTCAACGCACACGACTTTGACGTTACCATGCCTGGTGTGACGTCACGATACGACCAGCCATGCATCCTTGCAAAATTTGGCGTGAAGTTTCGTAACGATGTTTATTAGTGATTTAACGAATATTGGGGCGTCTTTTAATGAAATAAATATCACATATCAAGATATTTAGGCGCTCTCTACGGGACCAGCGCAAAAACTTAGTAACTTCCGGGTGTCAACGAAAAATCCCTTTAATAAACGTTGTGGTGTTGACTGAGCTTCAGCGACAGCGAAAGCCACCTGCAATTCCGTCTTCGAGTCCAAACGTGCAGAACACGTCGGTTACATTGATGTTTCAGCACTTATTTTTTGAAACGAGCAAACGAAGCCGTTAGATATAGCGAAGTTCCGGAGCAGTGCCAGCAGCGCTACGTATTCACTGGGCTAAGACGGCCGTCTTCGGGTTCCGGAACCATCCGAAACCACGTGACGACGTTGACGACGTTATGGAAATCACGGAAACTGCGTCCAGGACAGGCAGGGCTTGCTGCCGGGTGCCGGCATGTCTTCTGTGCTGCGTTTGGCTCTGTTCCCTGATGCCGAGTGACAACCGACAATCAACCTGGTTTTGTGTTTCTGCGTGTCACCAACATAGCAGCAACATCGCAACATCACGATGGCGGTGTTGTGTGTTATGGACGAAGACTGGAATTGTCGCCTATGTGACCGGTTGTTCGCGTATCAGTGGTGTGACTGCAAGCTGAGATGTCGTAAACTGTCGGGCATTGATGCCGCTGGGCAGGCCAGGATCGGAGCTGGAGGGGGCGGATGTCGCAGGTTGACATTCTTATTTACATTAAAGAGTTGAAAACCGCTTGAGTAATCACGGTGCAACTGATCGACCTGCGGATAGTCATGCTGGAACGGTGACCTGAACCGCAGCTCCTATCGTACAATGGCCAATGTGTCTGTAGTCAGCGATGTCTTGTTTTCCCCTCCACGAGGGCGCTTGCGCTCTAGGGGAAGGATTGAACTCTTGAAATATAACGGAAAGTACGTATATTTCGTTTGGAATTTAAGTATGATGTAAAATCGGCAAAAAAAATCCTTTATTTTTATGTTTAAATACACGACGGTTCCTAGAGAAACCGCCCTCTTAGTTTCGCACTGGGATAAAAGCTAGAAGTTTTCGAGGTCACTCCGCGGCGTAGCTCAGTACAGTAAGCGGTTCTGTATTTGAGAGAAAACAACTTAAATCGTCTCTATTTGTCCTCTAGGATCACAAATATCGAGATTGTTTCCTTTTTTTAAATTTGGGGCACGGAAACTGTAGAAATTAATTTTCAAAGTACCACTGAAGCCCTTCCTTCCCGGGGCGTGACGTACGTTACATTAGGAGTTTTCGGAATCTCCGCACTCGCGCATCTTCAGCACACGCAATCTTGCTATTTTCAGAACGGTCAAAAAGATACGTCACGACTGGTGTCAGTCCGGGGGAATATACCTGGCAAGCTTGCAATTGCACGTGCTGCCCACATGAGCGAGACACGCTTGACGGCCGAAAGATCCTAGTACGACGTCACTACTGGTCGGAGGTTTTTCGTGTTTTCTCGCGTCTAGTTACATCTTCGGGGGAAACGTACGTGATATTCAGATCCACGAGATTAAAAAGACATCAGAATTCACCACTAACTCGTTTTTATCAATAAAGTGTTCCAGCTTCCCTTTAACACTTGCCGCAAGTTGCGGCATTCACTCCATTCATGTTTGTCGAAAAACGATTTCTCCCCCTGTGAAGCATCGCTTTCAGCTGAGTGAATACCTTGTCTACAGAGATTAATTCATGACGACAATTGCAGGCGCACGGGAACAGCACAAATACAAAAACAAATAGTACTATGGTAGAAAAGCTGGCGTTCTTCGCGCCATTCTACGACGTGCTGTGCGGGGAAGCAAACACTTGGCTTGGAACCGCGGTGGAGCGGCTTGTTTTATGGCCTTTTAAATAATTAAGGCATGAACGTTTACTTTTTACTACGAGATACATCCCCTTGGCCGTTCAATAAAACTTCGAAAGTATGAGATTACTGCAAAAAACCATAACGCTGGGAATATTATTTATTGCTGAGATGCTCGTCAAGAAAAGCCCTACCTTCAGAACGACGAGTATAAGAGGCATAAGCCCAGAGCTCGGAAGTAGTAATCGCGGTATTGTGCTGTTGTATTCGTGTTCGTATGTGTTGTGTATGTGTGCGCTCGGTGTACATGTCCATGATGTTTGTGATACGCAAAATGTGTGTACATGTGTGTATAATAGGTGCCCGAAGCGCAATAGTGGCCTGAGCAAGTAAAAATGTTTTTGTTACCCATGAATTTGTGGTACATAGCGCCACCTAGCCTAGCTACTTACAGTTACTCGGCTTGACCCTGCCATCTGGTGGCGAGCGATGTAATCTTCTCTCACGCCTCGCGATATTTTTTGGTTACCGAGCAACCATGAGCGATGTAGGTTGCTGCATATTTGCTCTTTTAAGAGCGGCTTTTGGTTTCGCCACAGGTTTACCGCTCCTCCGTGATTTCAGGTGCTGAAGAAGGATTTGTGGCTCGAGGAAAAGCAAAGCGTGAAGTGCGCGAAGTTACTCTGTATCGGTCGTCCCCGTTTAAAATCGCACTGGTGACGACGAGAGGACTGGGCGACTGCTTTCGAAACGGAAATTTCTTTACGTGCGGGGGAAGCTGGCTTCGGAAATTAATACAGTTCGCGGAAGGCTCGTGTTACGCTTTTATTTGTTGTTCCTCTCGCCCCGTATAATAGACTTAGCGTCCCCGTTAAGCCTTATTGAGCTCGATTTGCTCGATTCCGGGTTGCCATAATGAGATGCAGACGACGGAAGAACTTTGTTCCCCACTTTCAGGAACGAAAGTTTCTCTTTTTCAGGAGGAACTTAAGTTACAAGTGCGTTCTTTCCTTTAGGGAAGACTATATAGCCCCTTTTTTCTACGAATGTATGGTGCAACGTAGTATAGTGACTCCTCTTTTAGCTCTCAGGGGCTAACCACTATACACCAACCAAGACGATGTTTACAAAGAATCCCGCGTTTGCCCACACCAGGTGTGGGCACTGGGCGGGCGCAGAAACCAGACTCGCGTGCGATAATGCTTTTGCGCATGCGCAGTGCCGACAGAGTGGCGTGACGTCATATAGTTGAGTTGGTTTATGGGAGGGAGTCAATAAAGTGTCCATGACGTGTGCGTTGTGTCCATCGTGCGCCCTTGCATGCAGACATGGCCGGCAGCGTGGTGCGGTTCGACCCGAAGGGCGACGGCCTGGCGCCGTACCGCATCTACAACTACCAGCGGCAGGCGAACAGCTCCCGGTACGAGTACCGGGCGGTGGGCCGCTGGCTGGACGAGCTCGAGCTGAACGTGGACGAGGTGCGCTGGAGCCGCGCCAGCCGGCTGCTGCCGGTGTCCATCTGCAGCCCGCAGTGCGGCGTCGGCGAGATGAAGATTGTGCAGGCCGGGGACACGTGCTGCTGGATCTGCAGCCGCTGCGAGCCCTGGCAGTACGTGGTGGACGAGTTCACGTGCGCCGATTGCGGGGACGGCCGCTGGCCCTACCCGCACAAGCAGAGCTGCTACAACCTGACGCTGCAGTACATGCGCTTCGACTCGCTGTTCGCCGTCGTTCCGATGGTGATCGCCTGCCTGGGCATCGTGCTCACGCTGGCCGTGGTGGCCGTGTTCGTGGTGAACAACGAGACGCCGATCGTGAAGGCGTCCGGCCGCGAGCTCAGCTACCTGCTCCTGTTTGGCATCCTCATCTGCTACCTCATGACCTTCGTGCTGCTGCTCAAGCCCACGCCGGCCTCGTGCGCCTCGCAGCGCTTCGGCGTCGGTCTGGGCTTCTCCATCATCTACAGCGCGCTCTTCACCAAGACCAACCGCATCTCGAGGATCTTCGAGAGCGCTCGGCGCTCCGCGAGGCGGCCCTCCTTCATCAGTCCCAAGTCGCAGGTGGTCATCTCCATGATGCTCATCTCGGTCCAATTCGTGGCCAGCGTGGTCTGGTTCGTGGTGGAGCCGCCCAGCGTGCGCCGCGAGCATCCGGACGGCAAGCGGGACCAGGTCATCCTCAAGTGCAGGATCAAGGACTCGAGCTTCCTCGTGTCGCTCGTCTACAACATGACCCTCATCTGCATCTGCACCGTGTATGCAATCAAGACGCGCAAGATCCCCGAGAACTTCAACGAATCAAAGTTTATCGGCTTCACCATGTACACCACGTGCATCATCTGGCTCGCCTTTGTGCCTATCTACTTCGGCACGGGGAACTCCTTCCAGGTAAGCGGTGCAAAAAAGTGCGCGTTACCCCTGCCCTTCCGCGCCAAAACACTGGTTGAGCGGCAGCCACACTGCCCAGACATCGTACAAGAGACACGGTGTTTCTCTGCAGTCATGGCGACAGAATTATCTGTGAACGCACGTCAATCATGTTCGAAGCAAACATGAAGGAAACATGCTTCGAACATGAGTTCAGACAATTTTTGTATGTCCAGTGGGAACAAGGAAGGCCTCAGACAGGCTCTGCAGACTGTCTCTTGTATAATGTATTAGCTGTGTGGCCACGGCTTTACGCGCACTTCCTCTATCACTGGACTAGCACGACAGGAGGTACGTTCTCTTTCGCCGCTTATTCTCTGTGCAATTTAATTTCTCCTCGTTTTATTCTCGCTCGAAATAGACGGAAGACAATCGACCGCTTGGGCTGTGTGCTGGTAACTTTCGGCTTCTCGTCAACAGGAAGGAATGCCGCCGAAAGTGCGGGTTCATTTAACTCGACCAGACGCGTGCACCAAACCTCGGGCCAGTGGGAACAAGGAAGGCCTCAGACAGGCTCTGCAGACTGTCTCTTGTATAATGTATTAGCTGTGTGGCCACGGCTTTACGCGCACTTCCTCTATCACTGGACTAGCACGACAGGAGGTACGTTCTCTTTCGCCGCTTATTCTCTGTGCAATTTAATTTCTCCTCGTTTTATTCTCGCTCGAAATAGACGGAAGACAATCGACCGCTTGGGCTGTGTGCTGGTAACTTTCGGCTTCTCGTCAACAGGAAGGAATGCCGCCGAAAGTGCGGGTTCATTTAACTCGACCAGACGCGTGCACCAAACCCACCAAACCTCGGGCACGAAGGCAATGAGGCGCGTAGCACGCTTCACCGCGGCGTCTCATTTCCGTTTGGTTTCGCGAAGGCCTAATTTGCGGAACGACATCGCGCACCCTCGCCGGAATTCTGGAATGTGGCGAAAGTGCCTGGCGACGCGCTCGTGCTGTTTTAAACGACAGGCACTTTTATCCTGGTGGCGCTTTCCCCCACCGAGTCGGTTGACTCTCGCCAATGCTCGGCCGTCAACTAAGTCGCGAGATCGAACACTTTACCAGCTGTGTGCCGGCTTGCTGATTGATGTTGGTGTCTCCTCCGGCGGATAAAATAGCCGCAAGTTGGATTTTCAAGTCACGTGACTGGCTGCGTAGGGAGCAGACGTAATAAGCAGGCTTATCTGTCGTTTTCTTTAATACTCGCTCAACACGACATTGCCTAGAAATCACTTCACACACCGCTCTAAAATTACACAAATGCGATTCCTCTTCACCTTTTTTTTTTTTTTTTCTGCGCGCAAAATTGAATTTTGACAATAGAAGCCAGGACAGACTTAGGCAGCCGTTTGCCTGAAACGCTAGGTAGGCACTTTTAGTTTCTTGTCCCCACAGCTAGAGTCGGTCATATGACTTCGAAATCCCTATTACGGCTATTTTAACCGCCGTGATATAGCCGGATCCACCGGCAAACCGGCCCTGGTTGCGTTGAATGGACTCCGTACCGGCATGATTTCGAACGATCACAACTGGACGTTGAAAGTTTCCGCACGCTATTCATCCTAGACTGGCGGATCAGCTCATCTACAATGGTCCAGCAAAGCCACCCTTTTTACGGGATTCGCTTAAAGAAGCACTAAAACGATACATAGAAGTTTACTTGTAATAAAAAATTACACCAGCAGAATAACGTTGAAACAGACGCTTTATGTCCTAAACTTTATATAAATAAAACGGGGCCATTTTTTTTTTTCTTCTCTGAAAGTTTGCATCCTGCTCGACACAGGTAAATTAAGATCAGCGAGTAAAAAAAACTCGGGCTTGGGCATGTGTCCTAGCGCGCTAATTTGTACTGGAGTAAGGGGCAAGAAAGAGAAGCGATAAAAAGCATAATGAATGGTTATGACGGTAGACAGAAATCAATAATGGGGTGATGCTACAAGTCACTTCCACATATTTTTAAACACTTCAAGGCTCGATGTTAATTCGGTACTGGTATGGCAGATAACATCTAGTGTTTTGTACCTGTTCCAGCTACCAATCCTCTTGGAGATTGAAAATTACTATAATAGCTTTTCAGAAAATCTGACTGTCGTCCCAAGTCATAGGTATAGGATGTTTACAGGTAAGTTGGATTGACCTTTTTACGTCACAGCTAATACATGCAATAAACCTCCATTGCCGCCGATTGCACGAATCTAAGAGAGAAACAAGGAGAGCCGACAATTGCTTGTTTGTGTTAACGGTAGCCGCGTTCTATTTACCTGCACTGGTGCAGAAAGGTGTAGGGCGATGTACTTCCGGTCGTATCTCGATACACATACCGGAAGTGCGCTTCTCTGTACCGGTGCAGGAAAGGCAGGTAAATCGAACGCAGCAAGTGTTGTTCATCACCAGGCTCTAACAACGTCGCTCTCGGCAATGCCAATCAAGCCGTGTGGTCTGTGGTTGGAACTGGAGCAGCAATTTCGCGCCATAATGCGTGGTCGGTTAACCTGCCCTGAAATCGTTTTGTTTGTTTCTTTCTTTTGCGACAAACTAGTGTATTTCAAATAGAGGGACTTAATGTAACTAATTTCCAGTATTTAAGTTTTGAAATCTGTTATGATGTGAGTAAGTAAATACTTTTCAAGTTACAATAGAACTTGAGCAACTGTAACTTGAACTCCTTATTGATTTTATTGAGTTTCTTGCGACCTGTTGAATTACGGTGACTCCGAAACCTTTGATGATTTCCAGCGTACGTAGAACTTTTGTTCACACTATAATTTAATCTCACTTGTAAGCCCTGCCCAGTGTTTGAGGCAAATATGGTTTGCATTATTTTAGGTGGTCTGCCCTTCCCTAGTTTGAACTTAATTCCAGGTACCTTCTTCTTCTTGTTTCTCCTCGTTAATGATGCAAGTTGGCTGTTTGCATGGCTATGCTAATTAAATTGAAAAATGCAAAGGTTCAATCATTTTATCGATAAATAGTATGGCCTCTTTCAACTTCATGTAATTTTAATTGGCCCTGAGTTGACTGGTTAAAGATTACAAAAACAAACTTAATGTTTTCGTTAGACGTTTATTTTTCTCATAACAACATTCAATTTTCCAATTCACACACCCCATGTACGTATTATAGCGTTGCTCAAGGACAGAGCACACATTCTATGCAAACACGCTTTCCCCATGAACATGCACGAGGAAGAGCTGCTTATTTTAAATTTTAAATTTAACGTTAAGTACTGTGTTATCGTAATACCATTACCGTCACCGCCACGCCGGAACCAGGCTGGTTCCGGCGTGGCGGCGAAGAAAATGATTTAGCTCATTCCCATTTCATACCGTGCTGCCAAAAAAAAAATGAAAAAGAAAAAGGGATGGGTAATGGTGCTGCGGGGATAAAGGAAAGCAACATGAGCGGCGGAAAGAATGAGAACAGAACAAAACATTTTTGTTTTGTGTTTTTTCCAGTTTTGTCTTGTTCTTGTTCTTTCTGCCGTTCATGATGTTTTCTTTATCTCTTTAACTTTACCAGCACGCTCTAATTTGTCAAGTCAGTGGTGTTGCGGTTCGCTGGCAATACATTCCTGCTCCGATTCCGGTATTCTCGTAATGGCAAAGTTACGTTAACGCTCTGGTACCGCGTTCAATTAGAGACCTGTCGTAGATTCTACACTGTGGATTGCAGGCCTCGCTAGCGCGTGCTCGATCCATACAGAAAGTGAACGGTACGAGCTCCCGCCAGCACCACTATGCTCTTGCGTACGTCCACTGAAAGTCTCTATTGGGAATAAGGAGTTTTAGTAGACCGCGTTTCCCCCTCCGCTAACCCTCCGCTGCGAAGAAACCGCCACTGCGCCTGCGTGCCGATGGCCTTGGCTGTAGAGTTCCGGGTAGTGGAGGGGCTTAGCGGAGGGGAAAACACGGTCTACTAAAACTCGCTATTGCTTCGGTGCTTACGTACCGCTAACACTGGAACTGGAACGTTATGGAGTTAACGAACATATTCACCACAAACACCGAGAGACGCAGGGATAGAAAATGGGATTTTACGACAATATGGAATTTTACTAGATCGTTCCGATGCCTTCGATGATAATGTCCTATACTCCGCCAACGCCTTTGCGTGTGCATCTTATCGTTATCGGGTACCGTTATCTGAGGTGTCGGAACTATCTACCAAAACTCTCTAGCAACGGCCAAGCCTTCTTTCTCTCTATCTCTCTCTCTCTCTCTCTCTCTCTCTCTCTCTCTCTCTCTCACTCTATCTATCTGTCTATCCATTTTTGTTCATATAAAGTAGCCGGTGAAATTTTTTGAGGATCTCCATATCTCTAAATACAACATGAATCATCCGATTCTCTCTGTCTTTCTCCTATTCCGTTTCTTGTTTGGCCCCTCAAATTTTCGCTTGGTTCTCGGACAGAAACCTTTTCAGGCCTTCAGCAGGATAGGGGGAAGCACGCGCGCGTTATTTAAAATTGAGCGCTCGGATTTTGTTTCCGTACCCTTCTTCAGGCCCCTTCTTTCCTCGGCTATTTTTCTGAGTTGTTCCTCTTTGCACTGGCCATACAAAAGAAAGCCGTACTAACTCTTCCTCGCGTCTTTTGAACCGGTGGCAGGTGTGCACGCCACATGGCAAAACGTCGAAAAAAACATTACAAAGACAAACAAAAAACAGGCAAGGTGACGGAATCTGGCTTTTCTTTTGTTGCTGCAAAGCGGACGTCCGCTCGCTCGCCCGCTTGTCCGCCGGGTCTTCTTTCTCCCCATTGACGCCCGAAAATTGCTTTTCGCTCAACATTTATTTTATTCTCGTAGCGTACGCATCAAAAGTTTCCTCGTTCTTCTCTTCCCCGGGTGTTTTCAATTTTAGAAGTGTTTAGGTTTATGCGTTCGCCTTCGCGTGTGCGCGGCTGTATGCTCTCCACGAATCGATGACGACGTATATGAGCAGGAAAGAAGCTGAATACAAGAA